TACAACAAAAGCTATCTCATTAGTATGAACTCAAACCGATAATATATGATGATGGATCCATTTTGAACTTTTAAAAGTGATATTAGAACTTAAATGAATGAAGTAGGAGGAAAATGGATTGAGAATCCATGAAATCTGAATTTAAGTTGGTTGCATTTGCATTTATGGTTTGATAATTCCCAGCCTTGTATCCTTCATATATACCGTTGCAGGACAGGCTCATAATCCATGTTTTCCCCTTATTTTATGGATATCCACATATGAAATGCACATAGCCCTTGAATGGTATTCATTTGCTCCCTTTATTTCCTTACCATTTTTATTTTCGAGCTTTTGGTTTATTACACATATTTATTTAAAGAATTAGGATCCACTTACCTAGTGTATTTTTTTAGTTTTATATAGATTTGGGAACATTAGATAAGTGAAAATAAACAACTGAGATGATTCCGTTTTTTTTTTCAATGAATATTTTCTTATTTTCTACCGTTATTCTCCTATTTAAAAGGGTTATACCCATTCTTGTAGATTTTTCAGTCCATTGAGATTTGAGAGCGATGAAGAACCATTCACAAGGATGTAGGAAAGCTCATGTTTCATATCAAAATAGATAGCAGAAAAAAAGATATTGGATCATTGAATCCGAATTGATGGCTTGAGTCTAACAGTTATACAATAATTGACAAGCATTGTTTTATTGTCTAATAAAATTCTTTCTTCTCAAAATAAATTAGGAAAGAGTGTAGTAAAGAGAAATAAGGATCGATCCACATAGACTTAGAAAATTCCCAAATTCGAGTTTGTGCCATCTATGATCCAGGTAATATGCAGTGAAATAAAATAAAGGGGATTTTGGTGAAATAATGATTAAATAAGAAAAGTAATAAGGAGTGAAAATAAAGAAGATTAAAAAGCGTAAAGTTGAAAATAACAATAGTAAAAAGCAGCCTCAAGCCTCGTTTTTATTCAATTCATTTCTGATCATCGAAATGTGTTGAACTATGTTTTGATGTAACAAATTAAGGCAAAATGTTTTTGGACTTGATTGAATATGTTCAAAGTTTTCAAAAATAATTCAAAGTCCATTAAACTAGAATTTGAACACAAAACAGTTTCCTAGGTACGTAGTACCGATACTGTTCTTACAGTATCGATACTACATTAATAGTATTTATATTGTTCATGTGGTACTGATACCAAAGGTAAGAGTAGTATCGATATTCTCTTGGTAGTATCGATACTACCAATTGTTTTCCAAATGGTTTAAATTTCAGAATGCAAAATTGATACCAATACTCAAGGGGTATCGATACTACTTTACATAGTGGTATAGATACCATTAACCCTAGTATCGATATTGGTTGAGCCCAATGGTCTTTAACGACTAGTTTGTTTAAATATTACAAAGGTAATACCAATACTCTTTAAAGGAGTATTGATACTCACTGTTCTGGAGAGTTTTATTTTTGCAGAAAATTCATCCCCAACGGCTCTAAAACACCCCCAACGGCTAGAAACGACCACAAATTCATTCCAACATATAAAAACAAGTTGATGACACTTGAAGATGATTACTACACGTATCCAAGCAATAGAGATCAAGAGAAAAGATCTTTCACTCTTTATTTTTTCTTTTCTCTTGTATATGTGTGTTTGAGCTTATTGTAAATCTTTCAATTGTTTTTCTTGTGAGCTTAATTCTTGTAAACACCTACATCTGTGAGGTTTTCTTGTTTACATCTTTCAACCTTTGTAAAAGGGGAGTGGTTCTAGTTCAGCCATTGAAAAACTAAGGTTTTTGTAAAGGTTAATCTTGAGCCTAGAAAAACAAAGAACAAATTAGTAAACTTGTTAGAAAATCCTTAGTATGGAGCTAAGGTAGTGGATGTAGACTTGGTTTAGAAGTCGAACCACTATAAATCCTTGTGCAAATTGTCTCTCTTTTTACTCCATACCCAAATTTTTAAAAAGGCCAATTCACCCCCTCTTGGTATTTTTTTCGGTTGATCAATTGAGCTTCATCAATCCTAACAAAATGGATTTTACTTTGGGATTCACGTCGGTTACAGTCTATAAGGCTCGACCCTTGTAACTTGTTTTTCACTTTGGTAACTGATTTTCCCAAGGTCAATCTTTGGAAATTCAACTTTTAATTGAACCAACTACGACTATCGTCATTAGCACAAAACAATTTTAAGTTTTGGAAAAGTCGACTCGGATTATGTTGTCTCGTTGAGAATCGAATCCGATCCCAGCTTCCCTTAACAAACCGCCGCTAAGTGTGTTCATAAGAAGTCATATGTGCTACAAGTTTATCCCCCCTCCTAACTTTAAATTAGAACAACATCCAGAATGACGAGCTCTTTTTGAAATGAAAGTGCTTTGATTTTTAAAGCATAGGTTGATCGCCTATCCAAGTTTCCAAAAAAATGAGAATGACATCCTGAAGATGTTAAGTGCTTTTCAATTCTCACATTTCGAATTGAGTCATCAATTAGCCTTTGGCTTATGATAAAATTAACTAAGCATGACAGAAGTCATACTTAGCATGTTTAAAATAAAAATTAAAGTAAAAAAAAAAAGATGAAAACAAAAGAAAAGCTTTTATAAAACTAAGTATCTGAAAACTACAAAATCAAGTCTAAACAAGTATGTTTCAAGCTTTAACCCAATGGGTATTTATAACTTCTAAAAAACCCTAAAGATAACATGAAAATTAAAAGATAAATAAATCCTAAAGATAATTCTCAAATGTTTTCAAATTCAAACTTAAAATTCAAAAGCAATTATTCCTAAGATAACTCTGTCCGTCCACCTTCTAGAAGGTGTTGACTAGATCTTCTAGAAACTGTCGTTAACTGGACCTTCTAGAAACTGTCACGTCAGATCGCGTCATGCTCATTGTCGTACCCATGTCTCTAGCCATGATTGAAAAATTAAAAAAAAAATGTAGAATGCGCCCTTCTTACTGCTAATTCTGGAAAATAGACTCCTGCACAAAACTAAGCACAATACAACCAAATCAACAATAATAAATCCATAACACAGAAGAATTAACAAGTAAATATCATCATTTTAGAACACTCATCAATAATTAAGTGATGATTTTTATTTTGTTAGTACGTGATGATTATAAGGTAGTATTTGTTTAGAATTTCCTTAGTCAATTGATAATGAAAACACACACATTCTGCAGACACGACTGCTCAAGTCTAGAATTTTGAAGAACAATACTTTCTTTTACTATTGAGTTCACTTAGTGGATTCTTAAATGATGATTATCTTGAATGTAGTTGTAAGACATATTATATTCTTAAAGAAATAATTAAAATTTAAAGTTTTAACGAACGTTTTTTAGACCTCAAACATAGATTATAAAACGAGTATAAAGAGAGAGAAAAACGCTCTCGATGCACATTAGGAGGGACAAGTAAGTTCTTGGAATTTACCTTCCATCCTTGACCAATTTCTCTGCAAACTCTTCATTTCTCTTCCAATTTGTTTGATTCTCTTTCAATTCTTCTTGTTTCTTGTTGAGTTTTTTCTTTCGATTTGGTTATAAGATTCAAAAGGTAAAGTTTTCAATTGGAGAAATATGTTGGCGGCTAGCTCTAATCAATCTTTAGAATTCTCTCTACCATTGAGATAGGACAGAGAGATCATTGTGAAGTCATCAGACGAATGTTTTCGAGGAAGATAAGTCGAATATCAACAAATCTGTGATGACTTTTAGGATGAGTCTTACAGAATGTTCGATTATCAGTTTTTTTTTTAATGCAACTTAAAGCTTCTCAATCAATCGTCAAAAACTCAAGATATACTCAAAATATACTCTAGATCATAGGGAAACTTCATTTTGAGATTCAACAAGCAACTTGGGGTTTCGTGAATTCTTCAACCCGGACTTTGGAGGGTTTATGAAGGGTTGAAACTAGCATGATCTCATGATTTTGTGTAAGTCTCGTTTTAAATCGATAGTGCTGATGTCCACAAGCTCTTAATTAAGGCTTCACTTGAAGTTCTCATTCCTTAGTTTGAGTCATTGCTGCTATGATCAAGTAAGCATGGATTGTTGGCATTCTTCTTTTACATAGTATTCTTCATCAAATATCCCTCTTCTTCAACCGATTACTTATCAGTTTTTTTACTCAACCCCCGCTTATATACATAGTATTCTTCATAAATGAATAAAAAAGTTATGTCCCCGTACTCGATAAAATCTTAGAGAACAGACAAATTACCCGGTCCGTAAAGAAATTTAATTGCAAGAGACTCAAAATTATCATTAACGAAGCAAATGCACTGATGTCTACAATTTTAGCTCAAAAGATACGAGTCAGGAATTGTAATCAATGATCCTCGAATCTGATAACATGGGATTAATGATCGCTCTAGATTGAAGTTGTGAGGTAATATTAATTATCTTTTAATTTATGGAGTTATTTCAATAATAAAAAAGAGTATCAATTTTCTTAGAAATTTCGAGTTCGAGTGTGTACATTCATTATTAATTAAATTTTTTAATTCTAAATAAATATTATCTTATAATCATCCCAACTTAAAAAAACATTAATCATTTCTTCCTTCGAATGATAATAGACAAGAGTACAAATATTTTACAAATATTTTAATATTTACTCATTAAATCACTGTTAAACTATTCAGTTGATTGAATTTATAAAGTAAAAGATTTAATGAATTTGACATCTGATTCTATTATTTAATAATGAAAATATTTTGAGTATGCACGCCAAGGCCTAGCCCTAAATGTCAAAATTGTTTTGAAAATTAAAGTTGGTAAAAGCTGCCAATTGCCAACCAGACATCTTGACTTGAACTACAACAACAATCAACAATCTGACGACATAAGCCATTATGGGTTATGTTTGAAATGGATTCTGCAATCCCACTACATTAACACACAGGAAGCATAAAATGAAGTGGATATAGGGTTTTTATGTGTTCAAAAAAAGAAAACAATTTCAATGTAGGCTTTACAATAATCAATCTCCCCACTTTCTTTCTCTTATTCCAAGTCTCCCATGGTCGGTCAATCAATTGCAGTACCCCATCCCCCCCAAAAAAAATAGAAAGATGTAATGACCACTGGGCAGTGGCCACTTTCTTCCCTTTTTCACTCCTTACAATGTTATATAGGTTTAGGGGGACAACATTTTCAACATACACAGCTGTTTATGATGTTTTTCACCCTCTTTTCCCCACTTTTATCTTAAAATTCGGTAATAATAATAGTTATTATATATGTGTCTACTCTTCTTCTTCTTCTTCAACTCTACATTAATCGATCTGATAAACTCGGAAGCCTTCGGAAAAAGTTCAAGCTAGCCGGCGGCATTGGGTCTCTAAACATAGGGTGCCTTAAATAATAAAAACCTAATGCCACTGCCACCATTTTTGGTGGCACCACATAAAGTATCAAAGTGATGGCTAAACACACCCCAATGAACAACTTTGTAGCCCTTGGGTCCCTCCAACTCACCAAGGCTTGAACCCTTTCCCCTTGGGTAGCAAAATCTCCCAATACCGTTTGAACCCTTCCTGCTAATATTCTCAACCTATCATATCTGGCTCTAATTATCTCCGGTGGCTTTGAACTCGGTATAGTGTCGAATTCCTCGTCGATTTCGTCAGGATCCACTGTTTCAGCTTGGGACAACCTTATATCCATGCCTGCTGGAATATTGGGTCTAAACCTATAATACCAAACTCCAATCAAAACAACATATAAGAACCCAGTTGGCATAACCAAGTCAGGGTACCAAACGAGCACCAAATATAGAACATGGACCAACACTGTGGTAACCGGGTTTTTCCACCTCCGGATATTATCCAACCATTTAGCCAACCCGACTGCCCATGCCAGAACCGCCACGATCCGAAACCAATTTGCCTTACTCTTTCTCATGCTCCATGTATGAGAATCTGCATCCAGCATGTACTTCACCACCTCCTGCCCGAGCGGCGGCTCTGACCTCGCTAGCCATTGTGCAACCATCTTCGTCGCGGCTCCGCGTAATGCCTCCTGTTGAGCCACCCCTAGTGGGCGGAGATAATGCATTCTCGGAAGCAATGGCTGCCCGTAAGCCGCACATGTGTCCGGTAACAATGACGGACACGCAAAGCGAACCGCCAACTCGATTTCACCCATTTTCTTTAACCCCATTCTGGTTAAAATCAAGAGTGGATAGGAATTGGTGTACACTCTGTTGCTCTCCAACATGGATATACGTATTCGGATCTTACCGATTCGGGAGTCGGGTTTATCTTCTGCCATGTCAGCAAACATTCGCCAGTTGTCGAAGACCCCAACAGTTAGGACGGTGCAAGGGTCGTAGACTTGCCACGTGTATTGTTCGTTCCACCGTGGATCGAAGCTGTCGGTGACTGTCCGAGTGCGGACCCACTTTTTCCCGTATTTGGCGATGCAGTAAGCATCGGTGGAGCCTTTGCCTCCGCCTTTGGTTTTCATGGGGAGCAAGCCGCGAGCGCCAAGGATCCCCAGCTCCAAAATCCCAATAGCCGGTTTCCACAGCTGCTTAGCCGTGGGCCTGAAGTCGCTGCACACGTGCGCCGCTTCATCCAGTACGTGGTAACCACCTTCCAAGCAGAGCCGCAGGTGAATTCTCCCGCAGTAGGGTCCACCACCCCCACCCCCACCCCCTTCCAACCCAAGCCATTTGGAGGCCACGCGCCGCTCATCTATCCGTTGCTCGATTGAGATCAAAGGGATCATGACGTGGCCGAGAAGGATCACGTCCTTGTTCGTACGATCTTCCACCAACAGAATCAACGAATCTTCAAGAGGTTCGCCGGCGACGAATATCAAATCCTCGTTCCATAGCACCGACATGCTATGATTGTTCATGTTTCCTCTCCTTGACCGCACTGATTGAAATCCCAGCTGCGCTTTGACTCGAATTTCAGGCACCGTTAAAGGAGGCAGATTCGGAGGAATTTGAAGATCCTGAGCCTCGATAACAGTCAATCTCAAGTACCAGAGCTTGGGAGATTGATAAACTTTTGATCGACTGTGCGCCACGGACGGTGCGTCGGAACTCCTCGCTTCAGGAAAAGCGTCGTCGTTTTGAGTGCCGATCCAAACAGCTAGTTGAATATCACCGGAAACGCTGCTGGAATTTTGATCAATGGCACCGCTTTCGAGTCGGTACCATTGCGGTGCTAAAGGACTATCTGGTGGCTCTCGTACTGGAACATCAGAAAGATCGAAACAAACGCCGCCAAGAAAATTTTCCGTCGGAGCGTCCCAAACAGAGATTTCAAGCGTTGCGTTAGCTGATTCTTGTTTATTGTAACCTAAAGCGAACACCTCGCGCCACTCTGGCGAGTCGGTTGGCTCACCTGGACGGTAAATCGCCGGGTCCGATTTGATGAAATGGTTGGAGGTACGGACTTTAACATAAGGGGAATCATTTGGAGCCAATCTACGCGCTTTAACAATTTTAACAAACAAATATTGCATCGGCTCAACTAGATCGTATGGATGGATCCTGTCGGCGCCACAGACTCCAGAAGCGGCGGCGTTGTCACCTTGAGTTTTGTTGCCCGCTATTTCTCTAGGTGAATAATCTCCATTTGGTCTCTTCAAAATACTAACTCTCTCGCCTCTGCTACTCTGCATCTTTCTCACTTCTGGCACTGGAAAATGCTCCTCAGGAACCGGAAGTCCCTGCGCCATATGCGGTTGGACAGGCATGGAAGTTGGCTCCGCAGGGGGAGGTAGCTCATCGTGAACATGAACAACGTCCGGTGGAGATTCCTCGGCGACCATAACGGGCGGCGAAGGGTAACAACGGACAGTACCATGTCCACGAGAATAGCCATCAACTCCACGAGGATACTCTCTATGTGCACTAGGAACCTCAAATACCCTCCCTTCCTCCACAACAACAAGCCCGGGAGTAGGCTTTGCATCCTCGGTTTGCGGTGGCTGTTGCTGCGGTTGCTGCGCTGGTTCTTCCGGCGGAGGCTGATCTTCGACAATCTCATCGTAGTAATAAATTCTAAGCCCAATCTCACCTCTAATCCAACTAAACACGCTCTTCTTCTCCAATGGAAAATAAACCAATCCTTCCTCTCCTCGCTTGGCGAACTGGCTCCCATACAACTTGACCCTACCCAAAAAGTGATTCTTGCGGCCACTCCCATTCCCGAATTTCTTATCATTAAAAACCTCAATCTCTAGCTCTTCAACGACCATGTTATCCGGGTCGGAAACGATGAACTCCAACGCCTCGTTCCAAACGGGGTTAAGGTCCCTGTATTTGGTAGAAGTTCGCTTTTTTTGGCTATCGAAATCGGCAATGACATAAGGGCTGGAGCTTCCTTGGCCATCTTTGGGAAGAAGGTCACGAGCTTCGACCACTTCGACGATCACTTTGCGCACTGTATTGGGCGGTTGCGGTGGAAGTTGCTGCTGAGACGCTGCCGCCATTGTGGTGTTATTTTAACCGTGGCAAAAGTAATTACAAAAAGAAAGAATAGAATGGAAAAGGGGTGAGTTTTGTTGGGGCAAGTAAAGAACAAAGAAGAAGAAAAATGGGGATAATGGCAGAGAAAGCGTTGATTGCGGAGGCTGGTTGGTTTTCGGAGGGAATTGCTTTTAAGGTTCGTTTTTTCTCAATATATTTGTCTTTTACTTTATTTTATATTGATTGCTTTAATTTATTCTGACCGATCTAAATTGATTCGTGTTGATTTTAATAAATAAATTTTTTTATATATATAAAAACTGAACTTGGTTTATTTAAATGATATTTAATTATTTATCACTTAAATAAATTTGTTGTTTAAATATTTATTAATATGCGGTGGGCTTCTTTCTTATTTATTTATTTTATTTGAAGTTTAGATTCGAGAGAGAAAGAGAACATAGAGGAAGAAAGAGAGATGTTGCTGAGGCAGTGGGGAAATCATATTCCATTCTCTCTGCTGAAGCTTCTCGTCCTACCTTCACTCCTTTATATCAATTGAAGGGTAAGGTAAAGGTAACTTAAAACTATATAGATTTTATTTAAAACGCTTTTAACATATAATTATTTTTAAAATATTTTAGATGATTATACGGTTTATATAGATTTTTTTTAAATAACTAACAACGTACAAACACTCTATAAATATAATTGCTAGAACATATAATTTTTATGGGTAATAACCTTTTCTCATTTTTTTTAGTTATTGACAAAATCTTATACAAATATAACTGATTGAACTCATAAACTCTAAGAATAATAATATTTTATTTTAACATTAAAACCATTATAGCTGCAAGAAATAATGTAGTAACCGAAATACTAGGATGCTAATACAATTGATCCCCTTGGTTTGTAGTGAGATTTTATGATAGAAATAAGAAGATGATGATACAAGCACAACTGGGCATTTAGATGTGTATGGAAATGCAAGGCACATGATTCCACCTCCGAACCAGGGCCCCCCTCCTTTATGTTAAAGCAGTTGCATTTTGAATAAAGTTTATCCCCCTACAAAGCATCAACTTTATTTCCTCTTATTCTTTTTCTGTTTACCCTTTAACTTTTGTCTTACCATATCCATCTCACTTCTCAGATGCCCCTTGTGTTGTTGAAGCTGCTATATACCCTCTAAAGTTCACTTACCAAGATTTTATTCTCAAGGAAATAGACTCACCCAATTCATTATTTCTGGTATAATCCATTCTTTTAATCATTTATTTATGTGATTTGATCAACTTATGCAATGGATACAAGTGTCTTTATTTGTGTTTTATCTCTTTCGAATTTCGTTTCACACATCAGAGTTCTTGGAAAGTGTCTTCGGGTATTCAATAAGTCACAATCCTTTGACATGACCTTTAACAGACATCACATGATTTATCAAAGTTAAAATTAATTGACAGGTGATAACATCAATCAGACATGTCAGCTTACGAGTAGCTATAATAATTATGTGTCTAAGTATAAAACCTTTCGGTCAAGATTGAGGGAGAGGGAGAAGATATTCATTTCAACTTTTCATCCTCCCCTCCATGGGAAACATTGGAAATTTGATATCGACTAACCATCATATAACAATCGGTTGCTCTATCTAAATATGGAGTAAACCTTCAACAGTCGACACAACCCATATCTTCCATCTCATAAATAAGGTTTATAAAAGTGAGATTAAGCCGATGAATGTGACTCCTAAGGTTGAACAATCTTGTGCAATTGATAAATAGGAGTTTTTTAATCACTTGTTATGTAGGAAGCTCCATAAACAAATGTCAAACATTCCAACTTGGGACAATAGTTTACTCAGCTTTTGGCAGGCAATGTCGAAGAGGCATCTTCCTCCCTGATTATTTTCAAATGGGTATTCGGCCCTTTTTGAATTGGTGGACTGCTGATGGAATCAGATCCTATAGGATAAAAGTAGTTTTTCAAAGAGATGCTGCTTGAGTTTTGGATTATTATTATTTTTTGGTTAGGTTAATGGATTAGATCAACAAAAAGTGCTTGCAACGCATGGAAGAAGGGAATAGCCAATGAATTCAGGGATGATAATTTTGTCCGTAATTGATGGGTTTTGACCTGATCTAACTCGATTGGGTCGAATTTAAGAAAAATAGAGTTTAGGGTCGAGTTCGAGTGGAGGGTGGAAAACCTCCAACCGACCCAACTCGAGAGTAATAGAATAATTTTTTATATAAATTTATGGATAATTGTTGTAGTACCCCTCTATAATCCCCCTTTTTATAGTTTTATCAATTATGTCTTCATTTTATGTCGAGTCAGGTTTATACTCTAAAAAATTGAGTTGGGTTGAGTTCGGGTGGAGAGTATATATTTTTCGGGTAAGATCGGATCAAGTGGAAGATATATATTTTTCAGGCCTATTCAGATTATGGTTGAGTGTATATATTTTCAGTTCCGAACAAGTTGACCGAAAACCCAACCCTACTCTACCCGTTTTCATCACTAAATGAATTTGTGCTAATATCTCTCTGCACTATTTTGTATCACACACTTCTTTTTGTATCTAAAATTTGAGTGAGCTTTATATATATATATAAAAGATCATATCTATTTAAAAATTATCAATTATTTGATATGAACGCTCATATCCTTACATTGTACATGAATTTAAAACATCAAAGAATAATAATAATTTCTTAACCATTGAGTTCACTTGATTTGTGTACGTGAACTTTAAAATATCTTCAAGTGATTCCATTGACATGTTGGTCTCATTTATTGGAAGAAGTCGTATGATTAAGAGAAATAAAAAAAAAAGTTTAAAAGAATTAGCATTTTGTTAAAGTATCATTGTTCTACCACTGAGAATGAATTTCTTATTCTTCACTACAATGAAGAATCCATCATTTTAATAGTATACCACATAACTACTAGCAAATTAATGTAATTTATTTTTACATGAACACTAAGGCTTGGGTGAAAAAAATAAGAGGTCGAAAAGTGCAAATAAAATAAATTTTGGATAAATTATTGTTATGGTCAATCTTATTTTTATATTTGTATTTTTTTATTATCAATTTTTTTAAAATGTTACATTTCGATAATTTACGTTATCGATTTATTAAATTTTAATAAATTACCTTATCAATTGTTACATTTTCATCACCGAGTTGTTAAATTCTATAAATTAAATAAAGTGACACGTTAATAGAAAGGATTAATTTTTAATTTGACGCATAAACTTTAGATGAAATATTATTTTAACCACCAAACTTTAGATGAAATATCAATTTGACCTCTGAATCCAACCAAAGTATCCTTCCGATGGCCACCGCCATTGCCATCGGTCATCGTCAATCACCATCGACCGTCGTCAATCTCAACCATTGGACCCCATAATTTCTAGTTCACTCTTTTTTTACCTACTGAATGTGAATCTAATATTCGTTTTACTGAAAAATACATTGGACTTAACAAATCCAACCTAAAACTCTTCGACTCTGTTTAAAACTAAATTATAATAATACATTTATAACTAACATTCTTTTAAAAATAAGGATGTAAAAAATATTTTAATCTAGACCTGTTGAATGTAGGATAGATGAGAGGAATTTAATCTAAGCCTGGTAAATGTAGGATCAATTACTAACCACAAAGGCCAATCTAATGATTTGAAGCTTTTGGTTGCTTTGTAGCTTGATTAAATATGAAACGGCTGTTTAGGGATTAGAAATTTTGATAAATATTTATCAAAATAGCTTTTTAGCGGCATTTTTTATTCATTATAGCAACGTTTTTAATGCATCTATAATTGTTGGAAATTTGGTGCTAGTGTTTGAATTTAGTAGAGAAAAAAATTGAGTCTAGTAGGGTTTGATATCGGGAACGAGAGCTGTATTATCATTGTTGTTAAGCAACACAACATTGATCTCATGAACCGACGTAAGATTTTATGTTAGATTATAAATTTATAAAATTTTACGCGATATCGAACTTATAAAATCTTAGGGTGAGGAGAAACAAATTTTCAATAAAAAATATAAAGAAATTATCTAAAGTGTATATGAATTTGAAATTTTTAAGGACGACTGCCCTACTCATTCGTCCCTTGATCTATCCCTGATTATGGTGTCGTTGAATGATGAATGGAAGCGCGAGACACCTGCTGTTGTTTCCTTTGCCGACAAAAAAAGGGTTCATGGGCTTATGTGACGATGAATCCTAGGTCCACTATTTTGCTGGTTAAGAGATTGATTGGTAGGTCTGTGTTGCATCATTTGAGTCTGGACAAATTGATAGTAACTTCGATCATCTTTAAGGATAATATTTGGCTCTCAAGAGCTTAAATACTATGATTCAGGGACGGAATTAGAATTGAACTATAAGAGAATAAATTGTTTAACTTTAAAACGTTAATCTTCTTTATTTCTCATTTCATGACCAGTTAATACATCCACAAATCAAGGAAATCTAAACACACAAGGATTAAACTATAAACATACAATTTACCAAGTCTTCTGGTATACTTTATCATATCAAGTTATTATCAATTTACAACATTCCTATTCGATTTCAAAACAATTATTATCCAACTTCCATTTATCTTTTAAAACACACTTCATAATACATTTAGGGGTTCTAAATATGTCTTATAATTCAAGTCTAGGGTCTAACTGTAAATACATAACCTTTTTAGAAGGACTAAGAAGCACACACATTACAAATAGAATCTAAAACAATGGATTTCATACATTTAAGGGATTTGATTACAATAATTTAAAAGTTTGAGGGTTATTAACAACATGCATATTCTTGATTAAACATTTGCTCTTTCAAAATTATGAAGAAAAAAACAGTTTTTACATAAATTGACAAAATTATGCGTTTAGGACTAAATTATAAAAATATACAACTTATGATATTGATACCATAATATATGATATTGATATAGGACTAGCATAAGGTATAAAAATCAATTTAAGTTTAAAAAAGTTTAGGTATGGATACCTTATCGAGGATATTGATATCCTACAACTTGAATGTCCAAAATATGTAGTTTTATGAACTTTGAAAGTCTTGAAAGTCACAATCAATTCATACAATATTACATCTAACCATTTACACATTCTAATAATTTTTCTTATTAGA